AGAGAGAGAGAGAGAGAGAGAGAGAGAGAGAGAGAGAGAGAGAGAGAGAGAGAGAGAGACAGAGAGAGTGAGAGAGAGAGAGAGAGAGAGAGACAGAGAGAGCAGCTTAGACCGAAACTGAAACAGCGGAGCAAGGTACTAATACAATACTTAATGGTTTTAAAATATATTTTACTTTCTTCAGTGTACTGTTTTCAAATCTTTTCTGTGATCACAATATAAAAACGATTTGTTATTACATGACTGGCGTTTATTGACGGATGCAGCAGGCTTCTGTTTCGAAATCTAACGGTGCCTTTCTTGTTATATTAATACATAATAATAATAAGAAGAATCTACTATAAATGCATAATAGTAAAACATAATTGACTGATAATAGTCATTTCTTTGTTTAGGCAAAGCTGCATTCGTTATAATAATCGTGTAATTTCAGTGAACATCTAAGGGAGATAATTGAAGTCTGATGCGCATTTAGCTTGTCCTTATTAACCTACGCTTAGAACTTCAGTTATACTTCTAGATATTAGGGAGTTTTGGGTTATGTGAGCAGAAATAAATGTGACCCTGGAGCACAAAAGCAGTCTTAAGTCTCTGGGGTATAAAAGATGATTTTCTCAATATTTAGATTTTTTTGCACCCTCAGATTCCAGATTTTCAAATAGTTGTATCTCAGCCAAATATTGTCCGATCCTAACAAACCATACATCAATGGAAAGCGTATTTATTCAGCGTTCAGATGATGCATAAATCTCAATTTAAGAAAATTGACCCTTATGGCTGGTTTTGTGGTCCAAGGTCACAAATACACAATGAACTGTTCAGCAACATGAAATAAGATGTGCTAACATTTATTCAACAAAATAACAGCAAAACAGAGGCATTTCTCTGATTTTAAAACAGCAGGATCAAAGTTTTGTGCGTATTAAATCGAGGCCCTGCAGTACAGAAGAACCAGCTGCCTGTTTTATTCAGTGCTTCTCCACTGAACCAAAGGAGCATTTCTGACCAGCTTCATCTGCTGCAACCAAAACACCCACCCTTTAGCCTCGGATGTAACACAGCTATGGCTGCTGGAGTCTCATCAAAAACAGGTAGGTGACCTTTAAGTGATAATTAATATTATTAATTCTATTTAACTGAGGCTCACTTCATCTGTCAGAGATCGGAGTTGTGTTCTTGGGAAATGATGAAGTTGACAAGAACAAAGTGATCAAATCCATCCTGGGCTGCAGGGATCTTACGGGAGAGAACGTGGGCCAGTGTGTATTATATACAATTGAACAGACTGTAAGGAAGATCAGTGTTGTGGAAGTACCAGGATGGAACTCAATGCAGAAAACACCAGAAAGCATCAAGAAATCCATCAGAAGGAGCGTGTCTCTGTCCACCTGGACCTCACGCTCTGCTTCTGGTCATTCCTGTGAAGAGAAATGAAGAACCTGCTTCAGGTGACATTAAAGCTGCAGAGATGCACATGGAGTTACTGTCGGAGCGCGTCTGGAAACACACCATCGTCCTGTTCGCTTGTGATGATGGAGTGGGAGAGTTTGCCATCAAAGCTTACCTTCAGAAAGCAAATAAAATCCTGGAAAAGTGCAAAGGCCGAACCTACATTCTTGAGAGACGCAGTAAGATCAGTGAGCTTTTTACAAAGATAGAAGATCTGGTGGAGGAGAACCGTGGTGATGTATTAATACCACAGACGTACTATGATCCGCTCGAGTGGAAGACAGAAGATCTCCGGCGCAGACGCGGAAGTTTAGATTGGAATCCTCCTCACAGTGAGTATTTTTTCTTAATGTCAAACACGTTTCTCACATGTCTCTTACACACAAATCTAATGCTGTTTTCTTTAACAGTGACCAAAGGGAAACCTGACTTTGTGAATGACCCACAAGCACTTTTGCTGCATTACTTCACACCCATCACGGTGATAGCGCTGGCTGTTTTCGGAGCGCTTCTCGGCGCATTCGCAGGAGCTGAATATGGAGTTTGCGCTGGTTTACTTTTGGGAAGCATTCTAGCAGTTGTCCTTGCCTTCTTGATCTTTAAAGTAGCAGAAAACTGTAACTGCATAGATACATAGGTTTACATACTGTACAACAGTCCATATTTATATTTATTTACATCTTATGTATGCATGTCTTAAACTGGAGAATTAATATTTATACACAAGAAATACATTTCTGGCATATGTTTAGCTATGTTAACAAAGCATGTTGGCATGCTCTCCTGAATGTGACTCCAGGCGCTCTTATATACATTTATGTAATGCACAAGTTTACGGTTGGCTAAATATATAAAACACTTTCAGGATCCGCAATCGGATTGATGGAAATGAGTGCATGTAAAAAACAGGACTATATATGCCAGAAGGATTCATTGTGTGTTTTCGTTTTGTCATGTTAATTAGTTAATTATTTAAGTGAAAAAAATATTTAGTGTAGGCATATTTATTTTATTCTTTTTATTTATATTATTTTATTCTGTTTTCCTCTGTTCTCAGAAGTGCTGCAGGTGTGTGACTTGTTTGTATTTTTAATGGGTCACAGACACTCCATTCTATTGTTATTTTATTTTCATACTAATTTAATATTTTAATCTTATCAGTTAATGTTAATGTTCAGATAACGAGCAGCAGTTGTCAGTCGGGAAAATTAATGAGTAGGCTACTTATAATGCATTGTATGATCTCAAGAATAATTGTAACCACAGTTATAATACTTATCTATTCGTTTTTGCATGTATATTATATACTCAAGTAGCTAGTAAGTGTACAAAGAAATAAAATCATTTACAAAATTAGTACACTGAATCCATTCCAACAGCTGTTAACCTGCCTTGTAGGGTAAATTAAAAGTTGCTTTTCTGCTAATGACAAATAAAACAAACATGGCAAACAATGATGCATAGTTACCTCACAGTCTCACACTTATATAAAATATTTTTCTGAATAAGATGGAAGCAGGAGGTGTTTATATTTTGTTGGCCATGTGTAGTCATATTGCAAGAATGAAAAGGGATTTACGGCATAAACACAGTAAACCTCAACGCCGCCTACAGTGAGTTTTGTGCTATTTTATGCTGATCTGAGAGCTTGTGCTGTTTTTTAAAAATATGAGATTAAAGCACAGAAAGCCATATCTGTTTAAAATAGCAACTTCAATAGATTGAACAGTTCTCATTTGTCTGATCCCCCCCCCTTTTTTTTTTTTGCAATAATCTTTATGTATTAAATCTTTATGTTAAAGTTTTTCCCCCCCCTCTGTCTTTATGTATTTGTTACTCTATATCTGAGATTTATATAAGGGTGGAGTAATTTAGGTTAAGTATTTTGTCCACACTAATGGCATTTCAGACAGAAAGGCTACAGTAAACTCTTCTGATGGAGCGCACACCTCCTGCAAGATCACACCACCCTCTTATGACCATCCACTGTTAAACATTAATTTACATTCATTGATCAAAGTTAATCAGCACCCTAAATGAAAGTATTCTTTTATGAGGAAGCAGAAGAACAGAAAAACAACTAGCAAATGCGAGGTAGGTACAATATCAAATTTTGCTTTATGTTTGATATATTTTCTGTGCTTACATGTACAAAAAGCTTGTATATTCTGCTGTTTCGTAAGCATTTCAGCATAGGCTCACTGGAGCTTAAATGAAGAAAAAAGAAGGACTTATAAACATCTTTAAGTGGTTGTGTTCCTCTTTTATCTCTTGAAACCAACTGTTGATATAATAATGTTAATTTTGCATAATAATTTATGACAGGATCAAGCAATACATTGGAAATGTAGGCCGTGCGTGAAAGGATTCAGACTCTAAAAAACGTAAATTTACTGCAATATATTTTGGGTGCTAAAATGTACAGCTAAACTGTACTTTTACTTGCAATGTTAAATTTATCTGAGCAGTTGTTATGACGTTCACCTTCCCCACATCATTTCACTGGAGAAATCATACCACAAATGAACATTCATAAGTGCTACACAATTAGTGTTACATCTTCTGTGATGAGGCATTGCTTAATGGTTGTAGAACTGCAATATAAACAGTCTGTTAGTATTAAGTGAAACCTGTAGCACAGCGGAACCAACTGTGCGTTTTCTTGTTATCAGTTTCCATGAAGAGCATGTTGTGAAGCAGCTGCACATATACTGCGATCATGGCTACTAAATCTCCTCAAGGTGAGTCAATTTATCTGTGTGTGGTTTCCAACAATGAAACATTTTTGATTAATTAAAAACATCATGCAATAATATTAATTTGATTCCCATTTGCTCTTTAAAGGAGGTTCGGAGCTCAGAATTGTGATCTTAGGAAATGCTGGAGAGAATAAAGTGGTTAAATCAGTCCTAAACTGTGAGAATCTGACAGGAGTGGAAGTTGGTCTCTGTACTTTACATCAGAGTGAAGAAGCAGGAAGGAAGATCAGTGTTGTGGAAGCACCAGGATGGGACAGACTCAGACCAGACAGCATAAAAGAAGAAATTGTCAGAAGCGTGTCACTTTGTCCTCCAGGACCTCACGCTCTGCTTCTGGTCATACCAGTTCTTAATTCTGGTCAAACTCTCTCTGAAGAACCTGAAATGAATGCATCAGAGATGCACATGAGGTTACTGTCAGAGCGCGTCTGGAAACACACCATCGTGCTGTTTGCTTGTGATGATGGAGTGGACGAACTAACAATCCAAAAACACAAAATCCTGGAAAAGTGTGGAAGACGATTCCATGTTCTTCAGAAAAGCACTTGTGAATCTCCCACTCAGATTCATGCACTTCTTAAGAAGATAGACGACCTGGTGGAGGTAAACCGTGGTGATTTCTTCATACCACAAGCTTACTATGAACTGATTCAACAGAAGACACAAGAAGCATCTGGTGCGACTGAGCTCAGGAAGAGACGTGGAAGTCTGGACAGTCCTCCTAACTGTGAGTTTTATTCCACAAAAGCCACAGCTGCTCTCACATTCAGGCTGCTTAAGCACTGATCTATTGTTATTTTCTTTTACAGATAACGAAGACAAAGGAGATTCACAGAAGAAAGAATCTGTAGAGACTTCCAAACATAGACCTTCGGAAGACATGCCAAAAATCACCATGGACTTCAAACCGTTCGTAATGATACTGATAGGTGTGTTCGGAGCACTTCTCGGCGCTGTTGCTGGAGCTGAAAACGGAGTTTCAGGGTCTTGCTCTGGATTAGTGTTTGGTGTCGTTGTAGGGGTTTTACTTGCAAGTTTCATCGTGTACATTTATACTCACATTTATTCACGAGCTTATCCAAAGCAGTCTACACAAAGCTCATCAGAAGCAACTGAATCATAAGGAGCTGCAAAGTTGATCAAATGCAAGCTAGCTGAATTGTAAATATATTTTATATAAATTTTTAAGTAAGAATATATTTACATTGTGCCTTGTATATATAATTTCTTGACAACTGTGAGGGATAATTTGCGCAAGACTGACAGGAGACATACTGTAGACCTGAGAGAGAAAAAAAGAGAAAAAAAAAATGCAATTCAAAAACTCTCAAAATATATGCATAGACCCGAAAACAGCTAGTGAGAGTACAAAGAGAAAAAAGACATTTACTAATGAAACACTGCTTTCTGTGATGTTAGAACCGTAGGGTGAATACTTTCATATTACTTTATATCAGCACTCATCCTAAACTTTTGCCTTTTTAATTTTGCCATAATTTTAGGGTCATACCGCATTTTGACAGCTTTATATGCCTTATAGTTTTTTTTTTTTTAAAGATGCTCATCTGAAGAAGCTAAAAAGCAGATGTTTGCAATATGTTGTTGTCTGTTGTGTTCATGGGTTTTTGTGTGAAGGAGGAAAGGAGGAGTTCAGAACAACTGGAACCAGTGTTTTTATAAACAAGCTTTTTAATGTTTTTTTTTATTTTTTTTTTTTAAATGGTTAAAAATGTGAAAGATTGACATTGTGATTTGTTGTTTTTGAACATCAGCACGCTTAAATATGTTTTGCATCTGTCACAAGGCTTTAAATGACTACAAGCATGCACTATGTAAATAAAATTAATTTAGACTAAAATAATGTTTCTTTATTTAGGATTTTAGAGGTTATACAGTAACTCTAAACTAGCACGGGCCAGTAAGCAGAGAAGGTTTTGGAAAACAATGGCATTCAGTGGCATTTCGTTGGAGTTTAATGGTCATAAACACATAGAAATCATTAACACATAGATAAAGTCATAAACACATAGATATCATAAAGAATAAGGCCATTTTGCATTGCTGGAGTTTGCACCTACTAGTTTTCACACTTAGGCTACTGTTAAGACAAGCTGTTATTTATATGCAATACATGCGCCATTTGTTAATGCATTCATTAATTAAATGCAAACTAATTACAATATAATGTAGGCTAATATTAACAGGTTTAACGTGCTTTAAATTTTATGGCGAATTGCTTGAGGCTCAAAATCAACCTGTGCATAGTTCGGTTTCGTGGGCCGCAGAGCGCCACCTGCTGTCAGCGCTCATGTGGACACCGGAAATACGACATGTTGCTTCCCGGAAACACGCGGGCTAGTGGCGCGAAATCACAGGACCCGCACTGGTGAGTTTATACACGTTTAATTCAGCAGTTAACTTAATTTAACAGGTTATTTACTAAGTATGTGAAGAGTTGCAGCGTGACAACCTGAACTTAATCTTAAACTGTTTTAAATAATGTTTCTGATTCTTTTGTAATTCAAATCAGTAAATCCATAAACATACATCCCTATTTCTGTAATGAGCTACAATAGAGAGTTAAATACAAACATAACATGAAGTGAATCAAAGTAAACACCATATAATATAAATACAATAAAAGTGTGCAAAAGACAGCCCGAGACATGCAGTGACAGTTGTAATAATATCACTCTGCATGCAGCTAAAACGAGCTCATATTCATTTAAAATTACATTAAATATTAATATTTTTGAAAATTAATTTGCCACACTGCAGTATCATTTAAAACAAATTAGTTAAGGTTCATTAGAATAGAGAAAACCCTGCCTAGTGAGCTGTCAGTTATGTATGGTGTGTGTGTGTGGACTTCGCTCCCGAGTGTGTGTCAGTACAGGACAGGTGTGGATGTGTGTGTTGATGTTGTGTGATTATGTGTGTGTTCAGGCTCAGAAGCTCCTGCGGGAGAGGCTGTGTCATCAGAAGCTGCCGGATCAGCCTGTGGGTCTGGACTCCCAGTACAAGTGCGTCTCGTTTACTGTCTCTCTCTCTGTGTGTGTGTGTGTGTGTGTGTTTGTAGGCACTTGCTGGAGCTGCTGAGACGTACAGCTGTTCATGGAGAGAGTAACTCGGTCCTCATTGTTGGTCCACGAGGATCCGGTAAAACTATGGTACGAAGCATCAAGATTTACTCCCTCACTAATGACTGACTCGTCTTTTTACTCATTTTGATTAGATAAATGAAAATTCTGTCATTATTTACTCCCCCTCATGTCCTTTCAAATATTTTGACACATAATATTTTTTCAAATATTTCTGAGATTTTCTATTCAGACCACTTTTTTTTCTTATTAAAACGACAAACTTGTTTTCCCTTTGAGCTTCATTTTTCTGACCCCATTGCCAGATTTGTGTTAGTTTGTTTTGTATCGTTTAAAGCAGAAACTCACTTCATTTGCATTTCCCAGAAAACAACAGTTTTATGTATCTAATGTTGCATCTCAGGTAAATGTTTAGATGTTTGTGCTGAAAACACAAAAACGAGACAAAAATAAAAACAAGAAATTAGCTTTTGCAGTGTGCTAAATAAATAAAGCTAATATTTCTGAAACGATGGCATAATTATGTGAAGTGTTTTCATGCGTCTCTGTCTGAAGCTGCTGGGTTGTGTCCTCCGAGAGCTCATGAGTCTGAGGGAAGTGCAGAAGAATGTTCTTCTGGTGGAGCTCAACGGTGAGTTCATGCACGTCACTTTAACGCTGCTCCTGTATTAAATGATGAAATGAGAAGCTCCAGCTGTGTCACGTCTCGGCGATGTTTTCTGAGCACAGGTCTTCTGCAGACAGACGACAAAATCGCTCTGAAAGAAATCACTCGCCAGCTGCACCTGGAGAACGTCGTAGGAGACAAAGTCTTTGTGAGTTTCTGACGTTATTAGAGGAATAATTGCTGTAGTTTTTAATGTTTTTGTGCTGAGAGGTTTTCTCGTGTTTTAGGGGAGCTTTGCAGAGAATCTGGCTTTTCTCTTAGAAGCTCTCAAGAAAGGTGAGGCTCCGTCAGTGCCATTTTAGTATTATTTACATACTATTATATGCTATTATTATATGTGACCCTGGACCACAAAACCAGTCATAAGGGGTACAATTGAGAGATAAATGCGCTTTCCATTGATGTATGGTTTGTTAGGATAGGACAATATACAACTATTTGAAAATCTGGAATCTGAGGGTGCAAAAAGATCTAAATATTGAGAAAATCGCCTTTAAAGTTGTCCAAATGAAGTTCTTAGCAATGCATATTACTAATCAAAAATTAAGTTTTGATATATTTACGGTAGAACATTTACAAAATCTCGTGATGGAACATGATCTTTACTTAATATCCTAATGATTTTTGGCATAAAAGAAAAATCTATAATTTTTTTTTGGCTATTGCTACAAATATACCCCAGCGACTCTGCTCCAGGGTCACATTTGTGTTTACATTCTACTCTATATTTTGTATGTTTTTATTTTTATATTTTCAGTTTTTATTTTAATCATCCTCTGCTCACCTCTGTCTGTGGTGTTGTCAGGTGATAAGAGCAGCAGTCGTCCCGTGCTGTTCGTGTTGGATGAGTTCGATCTGTTCGCTCATCATAAGAACCAGACGCTGCTGTATAACCTGCTGGATGTGTCTCAGTCTGCGCAGACGCCTGTCGCTGTGGTGGGACTCACCTGCAGACTGGTGCGTCTGCTCTGAAAACACTATACAGAACACGCTTGGACTTCAGACAACTACTATTTCATCATCATTAAATTGTTTATTTTTTTTGTAATTTAATCTGTCATTATTTTTTTATTTTGAATATTCTACTTTAAATGTAATATTCTAACTCTTACCCAGTGCTCTCTTTTAAACGGTGCATTCTGTACATTTTATTCAAAAATTGTTAATAAAGGTTAATATAACAAACAAAATTATGCATGGTTTAAATGCACAGAATGGTCTAAAATATAATGCTGAGAATGTAAGGAACAGAGAAAAGGAAAAAAAGTTGAGCTGAAAACATTATTAAAAAGTGGTTTAAAATTTAAAGCTACTTTACTCAATAAATTAAATGTAAAAAATGAAAAATTATGTGGCATATGTTTTTGTTAAATGTGTTTTTTCATTGAAAAATCATGAAGGTTCTTCATGCAAACTCAACCCCACTGAAATGTATTGTGCACTACTTTATTAATTAGTTTTTATTGGTTTTATTGGTTGTTGTAGCTCTAATTCTCTTATAGATGAGGAAAACCACAGCTGATCCTTCTCGAATCACTCATGTGTTTGTGTGTTCCAGGACGTGCTGGAGCTGCTGGAGAAGCGAGTGAAGTCTCGGTTCTCTCACAGACAGATCCATCTGTTCAGCTCGCTCTCGTTCGGTCAGTATGTGGATGTGGTTCGTGCTCAGCTCAGTTTGCCTCCGGACTTCCCAGATCCCAAATTCTCCGACGAGTGGAACCACAGCGTCACGGTACAGACGCAACATGAGTCTTAAAACAAATCATACATGCGTCAAAGACGAAAAAGGGTTTAAGCAGAAAAACAATAAGTGTAATACTGCTTTAAATTGTTGTTTTTCCCCAAATTAAAAAAAAAAAAATTCTGTTTAATTGCAATTTTGTTTTTGTTTTTCTGAGCAAAAAATAAATATCAAACATGTTTCCCTGATTTACAGAAGAGACCCACTGAAATGTCATTCAGTGTAACAATCTCGTCAGGCATATTTACAACAAAAATCATTTTAAGACATTAAAAGACTAATTACTTTCACCCCAAATACTAATTAGCTGTAATTTTACATTTTTAAAATATGCCACTATCCTAGGTTTTGCCTATTTGTCAGTAAGAATTTTGTACTCATTTAAAACACAATAAAATTTAATATGCTCACTTATTCTTTTATATATTTTAACATGTACAGGTCAGAATAAGCATGTTATTTGAATTTTTACATAAATATTGTGTTACACTGAATGACAAAGTAACATTATTTCAACCAAATTTTGACATTTTATTCTCCAAAAACTTAAAAGTAGACACTTTACTTACATTTAATGTGCTTTCTATGGACATAAAATCACTTTTGTAAATTTCTTTTGAAATCTCAATGTCTTTGACCCACATACAATCATGTTTTCTTACCTCTCGTTCTCTGTTCGTAGAAATTATGTGAAGATAAGACGGTTGAGGAGATTTTGAGGAGGAACTTTAATGGCAGTAAAGATTTCCGCTCTCTGCATTCGCTGCTGGTATTTACATCAGTTCATCTCGTAATCAGACCACTGTTGGAGATCTCTGTTCTTGTGTGTAAACCTGTGTGTGTGTGTGTGTGTGTATGTTGTAGTTTCTGGCTGTCAGTCGAGTGTCGGTCTCTCATTCGACTCTTCGTGAGGCTGATCTTATAGAGGCCTGTCGCTTGATTTCTGCTGATTCCAAAGCAAACGTCCTTCACGGTGAGAAACTGGAAACAGATTTTTCCTGCAGTTTTGATGATTTTTATTCCTCATCTCAAGCACACGCTCCTCTCTGATGCCCTGGATTGCCTGTTTTCCAGGTCTGTCTATTCTAGAGCTGTGTTTGATTATTGCCATGAAGCATCTGAATGACACTTATGACGGAGAACCCTTCAATTTCCAGATGGTCCATAATGGTAAGTTATAACTGGTGTTTCACAAGCCTTGATGTGTGTAAATGTTCATCAGTGAAGGTCAGTACGTGCATCAGCTCATATGAATGTAATTCTCTCTCTCTCAGAGTTTAAGAAGTTCATTCAGAGGAAGTCTCACTCCATCCATAAGTTTGAGAAGCCCGTGGTGATGAAGGTCAGTTGGAGCCGCTCTCTTTTTCATGCATGTACTTGTGCTTTAAACGGAACAGAATATGAAACAAACTGAGTCGATAAGTGGAAACCTAGCTCTCTTGGCATGTTCATGATGTCTGATTTGTAAATGAATCATACTTTTGGATTGAATTATTTCGGTTGTGTAATCAACTGATTATTTGACAAAACTGATCTAAAATGTGCATTCATAAATTAGACAGATCTGGCATCCTCTCATTTTATGTTCCATGAAAGAAAGTTGGGTTTGGATTCATGACTTGAGGGAGAGTAAATAATGACTTTAATTTGAGTTTAATTCAAATATATAGTTTTAATAAAATATAAAGTTTTTCAATTGTGTTTGTTTATTGGTAAATGGCGTAAATATAAAATTAACATGTTAGTGTTATTTTAGTATTATTTATGTAGTATTTAATATTTTTAATTAGCTTTATTTTTTTCATTTGAATGTTTTAGTAATTTTGTTGTCAGTTTAATTTTTTGGGTATACAGTTTCTTAAAGGACAAATTTTGTCTCTTTTAATGTTTTTTTTCAAGATAATTTGACTACATAAAATGAATCTACGTATATATTTTTTAATGGTTTTAATGGTGCTTACCTGTGTGTGTGTATAGAAAAGTGTATAACTATCTGTATATAAAAACAATAGAAGTCTATGTAATGTCCCCATTTAGATAGCTAAGTAAACATGCGTGTGTGTGTGTCTGTGTGCGCGTGTATCTGTGTGTGCGTGTATCTGTGCGTGTGTGTGTGTGTGCGTCTGTGCGTGCGCACGTTTCAGGCGTTTGAGCATCTGCTGCAGCTGGAGCTGGTGCGTCCGGTGGACTCTGGTGTGTGTAAAGTTCAGCGCGAGTATCAGCTGATGCGGCTGATGCTGGAACACGGTCAGGTGATGGAGGCGCTGCAGAAGTACCCACAATGCCCCACAGACGTCAAACAGTGGGCCCTCTCGGCCTTCGGCTGAACACTGCTGCATGCTTTACTTGCTGAAATATGCATTTTGTACATTTAAATGCATGTATATATAATTTTTTTTTTTTGTTTGCAATAATAAAAAAAAGTTAATATAATTGCTAATTTGTAATTTCTTTGTCTTAAAGAATCTTCTGGCCCCTGAAGGATGTTGTACAACGTTATTGAAAAGTTATTTTAGGTAGTTGACAAGCCCGTTTCAGCCACAGGATAAAAATATTAAAAAGGTAACTGCGACTTTTTCTCTCACAATTCTGAGTTTATATCTTTTAATTCAAATCTTGCAATTCAATTTCTTTTTTTTTTTTTATCCAGGAATGGGCTTCCATGCGATGTGGCATTCATAAAAAAATTATTTAAACCATTTCCAAATACTTTTATTATACATATCATTTAATGACTTTGCATTTTTTGTCATGGCTATTCCGATTTTTATGAGTAATCAATTTCATCTGGAGTCGTTTCCACCATTTGAGTCATCATATAGTCTGTATGACTGCTTGGTTTTTATTCCAGTAAAAAATCATCCAAAAGTAACATCCATTACCAAGCTTGCATTTTTATAGTTTATTTTAATGCCTTTTGAATTAGTTGCATAAATGTATATATATTTGTATATTTACGTATTTAACTGAAAAGGCATTAAACTATATATATATATATATATATATAAATCAGTGTTTTTATGAAATGGCATACCTTTTTGTGGAATAAACATGTATACAGGCCCGAGAAGATTTCATGATGATTTAAAGGTGGTGAATAAGTTCATCAGATCATCAGATCATCATCATTCATTAATGAAAAATTAGTATAAAGAAAATGTCTTTATATTTATAGAAAGAGAATCACATGCATAATCAGTTATCGGCCTGCAGACATTAAGACAATAAAAAAGTTGTATAAAATACCCAGCAGTACAATCTTCTGGAATAAGTTATTTATAAAGGACTGTTTTTGATTAGTGACACCAAAAAGAACAGCAACATCATGCTAGTCTAATAATTTAAAACCAACAATCATATTTACATTATTCATTTGCTGTACATGTGTGTGTTCGGGGGAATTACAGATCGATCTGAAATATCTTTTACCACTTATTTCTCACCCAACACTTGGTTTGTCTGCGAACACATTCGGGGCAATAATAACCGGCGTTTGTTTTCACAGTACTGAGAGTTTGTCGCATTATTAATGAAATAAATAGAAGCGGTTTATAATCTATGCTACAGTTGCAATCTCTGCTGCATGTTGGTTGCATAATTGCCGTATGAGCAGAAACCTGCGTCCCTGAATACTGCTGTAGTGCTTCAGAAAGAGATGGAGAGACAGAGATGAAGGAGAATGTGGCATTAGACAGATTTACAGCCCTGAAAGCTGCGATTGTGTGCAAACACTGTCATTAAAGGGGCCTTAGCATTTATTTTCCCACAAGGTCAGCTTCTATTGTTATGCAAGTGGTTTTTGCTCCTGCGCCTATGTAAATGTCTTTTGATGCGAAATTAGTAAAAATGAGTTCAATTTCTTTTTTAACTTCTCCATCCTGCAACAACAGTCTCTGTAAAAATACATCACATCGAGACAGATGGATAATAATGTAATTTCTAACAGCACAAACTTTCACACTTTACTCTTATTAATTCTGCTGGTGTTCAGATTGTTTGATTTGGAAGCTTATTTCAGCCACGGGATAAAAAAAATAAATAAAGATAATTGAAACTTTTTTTCTCGTAATTTTGACTATTTTTACAAGTCTAAAGAACCTTGCAATTCTTTGGAAAAAGTGAGAATTGTGAGATATAAACTGATAATTTGGACTTTTTTTCTTGCAATTTACGGTGGGCGAGTTTACTTGTAATTCCGAGTTTATCTCTAACAATATCAGACTTTTTTTCTCAGAATTGTGATATAACGTTGCAACTGCAAGAAAAGAAGTTGCGATTACTATTTAAATTTTTTATTGTGGAATTTATGGTGGAAACAAAAAAACAACTGCGAGACGTAAACTCCAAAATCTGAAAAAAAAAAAAGATATAATAAAATGCAAAAATTGCGATATATATTGCTAGATTTGACTCTGAACTGCAAGAAAAAGTCAGAATTCTCGGTTTTTATCTTGCAAGTCTTGAGTTTTTCTCAGAATTGCAAAATAAACAGTCTGAATTGCAAGACATAAACTCAGAATTGTGAAAAAATAAATCCGTATTTAGTTGCAATTGCCTTTTACATTTTTTTTAAGCTTCCATAGTTTGACATCACGACTCGGTGGCCCGAGTTTCTCAACACTAAACATGTTAACACGCTGATGTTAATCTAGTTCACATCAGAAAGCTGAAGTGCAGAACGAGTCGTTTTTGCAGTGTAGGGTCAAAATGAACTCTCCAGCACTCGAGCTGCTGGATTATTTCTCATATAAAGCCACTAAAAGATAAATATGAAAAACACAATGTATCAGGTGTAGTCTGATGAATATGGAGGCGAGTGGTAAACTATCCGAATTCATCCACCATTGGCAGAAGTTAATATTGGACCCTGGTTTTTGTGATTCAGTGAAGCGAGCGTTGATTCCTCATGATACGACCCCTTTAGAAAGAGCAGTGAAGGCTGCGATGAAATGAAGCAGAAATGTGAAAGGCAGAAACGCTAGCGTGTGTTACAGCTACTCGTCTCGCCTCCGTAGCAGCTGTTCAGAAAAAAGCACGAGAAATCAAAATGAGGTATACCTGTTTAGGGAGGTTCATGGTTATTTCAGCATACATCCATGTCTCATATTGGCATGACTGTAATGATTCGCAGAAAAGAAACAGCAAACGCAGTCCAGAGTTTCGCCCTTTTTATACTAAAATCATATGAGCTGCTGTTCATATAAAACACAAAAGTCTTTCCTTTACGCATAAAAGAGGTTTTGGTGCAAACAGAGATGTCCGTGTGTGTTTGATCTCTTGAGTTCCTCCGTGTGTAAGTGCGAGTCGTTGAATTATTCCCGCGCTCGTTTTGCTCGAGTCATTCGTAGTCTGGTGTTCTCTCGCACACGCTGCATTCTGATTTGCTGAGAGAACAGCATCATAGGCTGGATTCTTTAGGGGGGAAGTCCAGGTTGGTAACCATGGTGACGACGGAGAGGATGTCGTCGGGGGTGATGAGGTTGGTGTTGCGCTGCATTGAGATGATGCGCTCCTCCACGCATCCCGCAGACAGACGCGCCTCGGCCTCGTGGTCCCAGCACTCCTCTATGGTCTCACAGAGCATTGCCAGACCCTAGATACACCGATTAAATGATTTGGCGTGTGAGAAAGTCTCAGTATTTGCTGTGTCTATTTTTCTGGAGCTACACGAACAAAGCCTGAGCATCGTGCATCTTTAAACATCTTGAGCTTCAACAAGAGTGTGTTTGTGTAGCAGTACCGTATGTTTTAGCCAGTGCTCTCTGAATATCGGCCGTAGTTTCTTATGCACAACGACGTCCTGCATGTCCTCCAGAGACAGATGAAGACCTGCCTCCTCCTCAAACGGCAGACAGAACTCATCCACGGGACCTGAGACACACACACACACACACACACACACACACACACAGACAGACAGACAGACAGACAGACAGACAGACAGACAGACAGACAGACACACACACGCAAAGACACACACAAAGACACACACAAAGACACACACACACACACACACACACGCAAAGACACACACACACTCACACAGACAGACAGACAGACAGACAGACAGACAGACACACACACACACACACGCAAAGACACACACACACTCACACAGACAGACAGACAGACAGACAGACAGACAGACAGACAGACAGACAGACAGACAGACAGACAGACAGACAGACAGACAGACAGACAGACAGACAGACAGACAGACAGACAGACAGACAGACAGACAGACAGACAGACAGACAGACAGACAGACACACACACACACGGATCAGCACCGGTTTATCCCATGACTTCACCTGAGTGTGAGTGAATGGGTGTTTGTTACCGTCGGCCGCTGTGCAGCGAGAGGCCAGTTCCCACAGCACCAGACCCGCGGCGTACATGTCGATCCTCAGAAACGCGTCGCGCTGGAAACTGATCGCTCCCTCCAGCACCTCCGGAGCCATGTAGCGCCGCGTTCCCACCTTCACACAACACAACCAATACAACCTCAGCAATGACTGAGTAGCACTTTACATCTGTCCCAAGTAAGGACTATTCAGTCAATGTTTGCCATGAATTGCATTGTGAAACTAGAAAAAAACTGACATACATTTAAATATTTGTTGTTTGTTTTTGAGCACATGCACAAATTATATTCACCTGTCCGTGTGTGTCGCCTGTAGATTTCCCTGCTTCAAACTTCAGTGACAGGCCAAAGTCAGCAATACATGCAGTTAAATCACTCTTCAGTAACACATTCTTACTCTTGATATCTCTGAGAGAGAGAGAGAGAGAAAGAGAGAGAGGTTAAGTTACAAAGTAGGTTTCAAAGTAGGGACTGGGTTTGTGAAAAAGTTTAGAGAAAAATGGTGTAAAAATAAAGAATATATATAAAAAATAATACACCTAAAAGTACATTACTATAATGAGTAGAGAAAAAAACATTTATGATGATAATAATAATAAAAATGTAACTTAACTGAAACTAAATATTTTCCAAACCATATAAATTGAATCTTTATACAAGAAACTAAATTAAATTTTAGGATGAGGGGCCCTCACTACAAAAATAAATTAATAATAATAAAAATAATAAATGAATGAATCAAATTATTAATTATTAAATAAATATATTTTAGATTAAAATAAAAAATAAGTATATAAATAAATAAAAAACATTCAACATTCAAAAAAAGTATAAAAATCAATATGCTAGAAAAATACATCAATAAATAAACAAAGAAGTATATATACCCCAAAACAATCTAACAGTAAATTACTGTAACGAGTAGAAAAAAACTGAAACTAAATATTTTCCAAAGAAACTGTACACATTTTATTATGCAATTTTTATTATACATTGTTTTTAAGTATAAACTGGGTCTTTTTACAAGAAACTATATAGATGACTGTTAATTTTAGGATGGGGGTCCCTCACACAAGGAAATTTGGGGGTCCTTTGCATCTAAAAGACATGAGAGAGATAGGTTAAATTACATCTGATTTAGGGGGTTTCAAACTGGGGGTGTGGGTGGAAAAGTTTAGAGAAAAAGTGTGAAAAATGTACAAATAAATAAATATATACATTTTACATAAAAAATAAGAAGCACATAAATACGTATATAAATAAATATTTTACAAAAATAATTTTTCACACATTTATATACTTTTTTTATAGTATAAACTGGGTCTTTATACAAGAAACTAAATACATGCTTGTTACATTTTTGGATTGGGTCCATCGCTAAAAAATGTAAAAATGAATAAATAAATAAATAATAAAAAAGATTAAAATACATATATAAATGTATACATTTTAGATTAAAATAAATAAGTAAACAAATAAGTATATAAGGTGATATTACATCTATAATACATTACTATAATGAGTTTGAAAAAAAAAATTAATAGAAACAAAATATCAAATAATATTTTACACATATTTATATGATACATTTTTACAGAATAAACTGGGTCTTTATACAAAAAACTATATAGATGTCCTGTAAGATTTTAGCCTTTGGGTCCCTTGCTAAAAATGTAAAAAAAAAAGAATAAATAAATAAATAAATATATATATATATATATATATAATGAAAAAATATATACAGGTGCATCTCAATAAATTAGAATGTTGGTGTGCTTGACTGGCCAGCAAACTCACCAGACCTGAACCCCATAGAGAATCTATGGGGTATTGTCAAGAGGAAAATGAGAAACAAGAGACCAAAAAATGCAGATGAGCTGAAGGCCACTGTCAAAGAAACCTGGGCTTCCATACCACCTCAGCAGTGCCACAAACTGATCACCTCCATGCCACGCCGAATTGAGGCAGTAATTAAAGCAAAAGGAGCCCCTACCAAGTATTGAGTACATGTACAGTAAATGAACATACTTTCCAGAAGGCCAACAATTCACTAAAAATGTTTTTTTTTATTGGTCTTATGAAGTATTCCAATGTGTTGAGATAGTGAATTGGTGGGTTTTTGTTAAATGTGAGCCAAAATCATCACAATTAAAAGAACCAAAGACTTAAACTACTTCAGTCTTTGTGCATTGAATTTATTTAATACACGAGTTTCACAATTTGAGTTGAATTACTGAAATAAATGAACTTTTCCATGACATTCTAATTTATTGAGATGCACCTGTATATATAATGAAAAAATATATTTAAATAAATTAATCAAATTTTTCTTTACATTTTTACAGAATGTATAAGCAAATACATACAGTATGTATAAAAACATATAATTAAATAGATCTAACAGTATTATAATGAGTAGAAAAACAATATAATAATGTAACTTAATAGAAACAAAATAGTTTCCAAATAATATTTTACACATTTATATTACACTATAAATTGGGTCTTTATACAAGAAACTAAATAGATGTTGGTTAAATGTTAGGATGGCGTTCCCTTGTACGAGCATCAGATTTTATTTTCAATGGCATCTAACAGATTGAAAGTGTTTAGTACCGGTGTGCAACGGCAGGCTTGTGTCCGTCCTTCAGGTTGGGAATGTCCTCGTGTAAATACGCCAAACCGCGCACAAACGTCTGCGCTATCAGACACAACTCATTCCACGACACAACATTTGCCTTCAGGAAGTCCGTCAGCGAGCCCTGAGAACAAACACACACGCAAATGATATTATCACACACTCTGTGAATCAAACATGTGACACACTGAGGTCATGTGACAATAATGTAGCATGATACTGTTTAAAACAATTACTCCTGCATACTGCATACTACTAAAATAATGGTTTCTATTTTAATATCCTTTAAAATATAATTTATTTCTGTGAAGCAAAGCTGAATTTCCGTCATCATTACTCCAGTATAAAGTGTCACATGATCTTCAGAAATCATTCTAATATGCTGATTTATTATTAGAATTATCAATGTTGGAAACAGCTGTGATGCAAATATTTTTTTTTCGAGCAGCAAATCAGCATATTAGAATGATTTCTGAAGATCATGTGACACTGAAGACTGGAGTAATGATCACAGAAATACATTACAGTTTAACAGATATTTACATAGAAAACAGTCATTTTAAATGGCAATAATATTTCACAATTGTGCTGTTTTTACTGTATTTTTAATTAAATAAATGCAGCCTTGATGAGTTTTTTTCTGTATTTTTTATCAAATAAATGCAGCCTTGATGAGCAGAAGAGACTTTTTTAAAAACATTACAAGTCTTACTGATCCCAAACTATTGAGCGGTAGTGTATTTCGTTTGGAATTTTCATTGAGTGTAGTAAACAGTATGCAGTATTCTGAATAAAGTACACAGGGGTGTGTGTGTGTGTTTTTGTGTGTGTGTTTGTGTGTGTGTGTTTGTTTATGTGTGTGCGTGTGTGTTTGTTTGTGTGTGTCTGTTTGTGTGTGTGTGTGTGTGTGTGTGTCTGTGTGTGTGTGTGTGTGTGTGTGTGTGTGTCTGTGTGTGTGTGTGTGTGTGTGTGTGTGTGTCTGTGTGTGTGTGTGTGTGTGTGTGTGTGTGTCTGTGTGTGTGTGTGTGTGTGTGTGTGTGTGTCTGTGTGTGTGTGTGTGTGTGTGTGTGTGTGTCTGTGTGTGTGTGTGTGTGTGTGTGTGTGTGTCTGTGTGTGTGTGTGTGTGTGTGTGTGTGTGTCTGTGTGTGTGTGTGTGTGTGTGTGTGTGTGTCTGTGTGTGTGTGTGTGTGTGTGTGTGTGTGTCTGTGTGTGTGTGTGTGTGTGTGTGTGTGTGTCTGTGTGTGTGTGTGTGTGTGTGTGTGTGTGTCTGTGTGTGTGTGTGTGTGTGTGTGTGTGTGTCTGTGTGTGTGTGTGTGTGTGTGTGTGTGTGTCTGTGTGTGTGTGTGTGTGTGTGTGTGTGTGTCTGTGTGTGTGTGTGTGTGTGTGTGTGTGTGTCTGTGTGTGTGTGTGTGTGTGTGTGTGTGTGTCTGTGTGTGTGTGTGTGTGTGTGTGTGTGTGTCTGTGTGTGTGTGTGTGTGTGTGTGTGTGTGTCTGTGTGTGTGTGTGTGTGTGTGTGTGTGTGTCTGTGTGTGTGTGTGTGTGTGTGTGTGTGTGTCTGTGTGTGTGTGTGAGTGTGAGTGTGAGTGTGAGTGTGAGTGTGTGTGTATGTACCTTCTCATGATACGCTGTGATGAGCCATAGCTCGATTTCGACTCCATTTCCTCTTTTTTCCGCTCCGATGAAGTGAAGGATATTTTCATGTTTCATTCCACTCAAACTATACATCTCATATTCATTCTGCCATGACTGTTTATTCTGAGAGAGATCGCAGACAAACACATGCAAAATTAACAACATTCAAAGCCACTGTAAAACAGTACATTTACGCACAATTGTGATGCACATCAGTTGATTTCTGTATTCATGTGCACAAGTTGTAAACAGACTAATGAACTATATTACTTGATGGACAAATTATTTATGATTCATTAATTTTCCAAATGATCTGTTGAATATTGGTGTATTTTATCATTGCGGTTGCTGTCATTTTACAAAAGCAGCTAGATTTAAATTTCCAGTCTTTGCAATGTGAACCAGTGCAAAATACTTCAGTGTGCAATTCAAATATTACAATGATTTTATTGCTGTTGAATACTGAACATTGCATCACTTTATCAAAGAGAATTCTTCAAACATTAATTTTTTAAAAAAGAAAAATCATATCAGCTAAGACTGAAAGTACACGGTAAAAAAATACTTTTTTGAAGTCTTAAAGATTTCAGGCTGAATTAATAGCTTAAGCTTAATATTTTAGGTTAGAGGTTTAGAACAAACACTAGCTATAATATTTGAAGAATATTAATACAGAGATTCAGAGCATAATAATAAAGCACTCAGATTTGAGTTACCAGCAAACCATATCACTGTTACCCATGAGCTTTTGGCTTATTGCTTTATTATAATCATGTCGAATCTTCTGTGCTGAAGCTGAGGAGGGAAACTATGACCAGCAGTAATGAGATGAGATGCGTCAGATACCTGCACAGGGAAGATTTTGACAGCCACGTGTTCGTTGAGCAGCTGAGCTTTCCAGACGCAGCCGAAGCGCCCGCGAGCCTTCAGCTCCAGCAGCTGCAGCGGCTTCTGACCCAACAACGGTGACGGAGGCGTCAGACCCGGATCCTGCAGACACAAACACAACCCACTGAACACATGATTCACTCATACACATCAACACAAACACACACACACAGCGTCTGATGCAGGAGAACACATATAATAATCCATGCCAGCTACAAAGAAAGAAAGAAAGAAAAGAAGAGCCCATATGCAGATGAGAGTGACCACATCACAAACCCATGACAGAGGATGAGAACTGAAGCATCAGCAGGGCAGCATGGGAGACCGTGAGAGTGAATGAAGCTCTTACCTCGATCATGATACGAAAGGCGTGCTAGCAAGAGAGGAACAGAGGGGTTTTACTGCTTCTAGCACACACACAAGCTCTGGGATGTGAGTAAGAACGAGCGCAAACTCATTTAAGCATGAGAATGAGAAAGAAACACTGATGTGTGTCTGTGAGAACATGTGATGTAGTCTTATATGCAGCAATGAGAGACTGACATGAGAAAGATGGTACGTACCATCCTAAGAATTAAAGGGTTAAGGGTAAAGGCTTTAATAAGAACTAGTACGAACATACTAAAAAATGACAAAAAATGCACAACAAAATTACTAAAACTTTAACATTAAAATGAAACAGAAAATATAAAAATTAAAAAATATTAACAAAACTGATAATAGCATTTCAATGATATTTAAATAACACTGACTTGGGATGCAAAATTACACAAGATATTAAGACAAAATTAAAATTAAGTGAGTTTATGCATAAAATAAGGGGGAAAAAGATCTGCCAATGGGGTCAGAAAATTAAACACTCTGTTTTGCTTTAAGTTTTTTTTTGACCTCATTGGCAGATATTTGTCTTGTTTAAATTGCACTGGAAAACAACACAAAAATATTGAGTAAGAAAATCACTTTTTGCAGTGAAACATTTGCTCCCCAATGGTAGAATAGTTTATTGTGGTTATTATGAATGGATACACATTAATAACTGCACTGTTATGTGAAAGAGTCCCGATTTCACCAAAAAACATCTCCAGATATTACGCTCGAGTATAAAGATGATATTGAGATGAAGGTACAGTACCTGTGACGGCACGAGCAGCGGCGGGTACGACAGCTTCAGACGCCGGTACATCCAGAACGAGATGACGAGAATAACGGCGACAGCCATGACGGGAATCAGAGAGTACAGCAATGTGGGAAACAAGTCCGGCTTCGGAGGGACGGGGTTAGACGTGGCTGGAGAGAGAGAGAATGAGGAGTAATTAACTAAAAATGTGACCTAAATCTGGGTACTTAGATATGAGATAGTATCACATACACTACTGTTCAAACGTTTGGGTCAATAAGATTTTTAGTGTTTTGAAAGAAATTAATACTTTTATTGAGCAAGGATGCATTAAATTGACCAAAAGTGACAGTAAAGACATTTATAATGTAACAAATGATTTCTATTCCTTTTGAACTTTCTATTCATCGGTGAATCCTGACAAATAAAATGCATCACAGTTTCCACAACAATATTGTGCAGCACACTTGTTTTCAACATTGATAATAATCAGAAATGTTTCTTGAGCAGCAAATCAGTATATTAGAATGATTTCTGAAGATCATGTGACACTGAAGACTGGAGTAATGATGCTGGAAATACAGCTGCGCATCACAAAAATACATTTTATATTAACAGATATTCAAATATTTTAAATTGAAATAATATTTCACAATATTACCGTTTTTATTGTATTTTTGATCAAATAAATGCAGCCTCGGTGAGCAGGAGAGATTTAAACATCTTACTGATCCCTGATCAACTGGACCTTAATTTGATCAAAAACTGCTCATTAAAGGAGGAAGAGTCTATTCGATTGACATAATAATGCGTTGAATCACAGTGTGTTTACTGTTATGACATTCAGAGGCAGGTTAATCTGAAATAGTAGAAACTACAATAATACATCATCATGGAAAACTCGACAGATGTCAGAGAAATTAAATGTGTGCGACTTTGTGATTCAAAGTAACAAGAGTGAATATTTCAGACGTAACTCTATAATCAAAGGATTTTAGGTTTAAATCTACATGAATATATTTGGGAAAGTGTATAATTTAGATCCTGTATCTGGTCAGTTTCTGTTCAACACTCTTGTAGTGTCCCAACTGTGAGACACAGCTGTGAAATCAGTCTGATTATTAGTCTTGAAGTGCGCAGACAGTCCAGATATCTTCACTCGGTCACATGTTTGTGTCTGAGAGGTGTGAAGTGTGTGTTACTCACTCTGAATCATCTCTGGACTGTAGTGAAACTTCTCGTTGCACATGTTTCCCTCGCAGCAGCAGAAGAAGACGTCGGGATTCTCCTTACGCTCCACACACTCACTGCTGCACACACACACACAGACAACACATGTCATCCTCGGTTCACTACAAAACACACACATCACGCAAACACACACGCTGCATCCGAGCATGCATCTGCTCGTACCTGTCGTAGCAGTTAACATCGTCCAGCCAGCAGCCCTGCTTCACCATCTCGATGGCTCCTGAGCGGTTCTTCCAGGTGGAGAAACAGTGTCGTCGCTTGTCTTTCTCTCCGTGACATGATTCGATTCCGCTCTGGTTCGTCCCGTCCTTCTCCCAGCTTGCATTGTAAAACGCACACTCCTGCGTCTCCGAGCGCCCGAGAATCGCACCTGAACCACACAGAAAGAGACTTCAGATGCTGTCCATTTGTTTCATTTGATCAGCATAATAACAGAGGTTGTTTATTACCTTATCGCATATAAAACCTTAAAGGTACAGTACACGGTCAAATAAGTTTTCAAAGTTGTAAATAAAACAGATTATTGCAGTGCATTTTACAGTCTTTCTACTTCAAAATTTCACATTTAGTTCAATGTGTTACTTGCCGTTTCTTATTTGTGAAATTTACTAGCAATTTCTGAGTGGAAACTGTTTCTACTCCAGTTTTTGTTCAGTGCATGAAGCTTTTGAATTGTAAAAGTCAGTCATGTTAATTAAAAACTACTTTATGATTTTTAATGCATTAAACTATGTGCAATATTATAAGTGGACCTTTAGGTATAAACAACGCTACAAAAGTGTAGAATATGATTCATGTTATCATTTGTCGAGTGTTTACGTGAAGAGCTGAGCATTTTGAATAGCGTTTCTCAAATCTGATTTCAATAGTTGGATGTTGGCATGTTGCTAAACTCTAATAACACAATACTATAAAAATCATAAAAACACATAAGAAACAAACAGTGGGTCAAGTTGTCCATTTTTAAAATGAGTTTTCATTGTGTTTATCACAATGCATTCTGGGATTGCCTTCTTTATGAAGGATACGCGCTATGCTGCTTAAAAGGCAGCATAATCATGCATGTCTAATATTTTGTATTTTATAATAATATTGCAAGTCTTCTGAGATGATATTATAACTGTGAGGAACAGACAGAAATTTAAGTTGTTATTCACTGATAAGACTTTCTAAAATTTGGGTGAATTATTGCTTTAAGAGCTAAAAACTTTGATGATGTTATAACACTACAGTTTAAATGTCTCTTCTGCTCACCAAGGCTGAATTTATTTAATCAAAATTACAGTAAAAACAGCAAAATTGTGAAATATTATTACAATTTAAAGTAACTGTTTTCTATGTGAATATCTGTTAAAATGTAATTTATTCCTTTGATCAAAGCTGAATTTTCAGCATCATTACTCCAGTCTTCAGTGTCACATGATCCTTCAGAAATCATTCTA